ACTAGTTACTCCTTTTCAAACTCTGTTGCTGGTTTTTCTTCCCTCTAATCTTTAAATGTTGGTAAGCCCAAAAACTCAGTCTTTGGACCTCTTATCTTTCCTATCTATAACTATTCAGCATACAATATCATCCAATCCCATGGTTTTATATGGCACCTATATGCTGATGAATTCTAAATTTGTATTTCTATTCTACCCAGACCTCTCCTCTAATTTCCAGAAACATATATGCAATTGTCTTATTAACATCTCCACTTAGGTGTCTAATAGATAGCTCAAAATTAATATGAAAATGAAACTCTTGCTTCATTCTAAACTTGCTCACCCATAAGTATACCCCATTACAGAAATTGTCACCACTATTCACTTGGTTATTCAAGCAAACACATACACACACACACACACACACACACCAACATATCTCTGGTGTCATTCATGACCTTTCTCTTTATTCAGCAACTAACATTTAGTACATCAGCAAATCCTATAGGAACTACCTTCGTAGTATATTTAGAATTCAGTCACTTCTTACCACAATTTCTGCCACAAAATCAAAATCATTTTGATCACTTATGTAGATTATTGTGAAATCCTTTTAACTCATTAACTTGTGTATTCATTTCCAATTGCCAATGTGAAAATTACCATTAACTTAATGAATTAGAAAGCCATGAATTTGTTTTTATAGTTCTGGAGAACAGAAGTCCAAAATGAGCCCCTTTGAGCTAAAACCAAGGTGTTGCCAGGGCCAAGCCTTCCTGAAGGCTTGAGGAGAGAATTCATTCAGTGCCTCTTCCAGTTTCTGGTCACTACCAGCATTTCTTCACTTTGTGACTGCATTGTTCTGATCTTTGTTCTGTTGTTATATTGCCTTGTCTATTTTTTCAGTCAAATTTCACTTAGCTCCCATCTTTAAAAGCCAACTGTGTTGGGCAGCTGGATGATTCAGTTGGTTAAAACACATGCTCTGAACAAGGTTGCTAGTTCGATTCCCACATGAGATGGTGGGCTATGCCTCCCGCAACTAGATTAAAAAAAATGGCGACTGGACTTGAAGCTGAGCTGAACCCTCCACAACTAGATTGAAGGACAACGACTTGACTTGGAGCTGACGGGTCCTGGAAAAAAAAAACACTGTTACCCAATAAATATTAAAGAAAAAAAAAAAGATGGGCGGCCGAGTGGTGCATTGGTTAGGAGTTGGCTTGGGACACCAGCTCTGAGCAGTAAGGCCCTGGTTTGGATTCCACATGAGGGCCAGTGATGCTGTGCCCTCTACACCTGAGATGGTGAACAACAGTTCGACCTGGAGCTGGGCTGCCGTGAGTCACCGGTGACAGCGTAGGCTGCATTGGGGCTGGCCAGCAGCAAGCATGAGCTTTCTTGAGCTGCTGTGAGCCACTGTAAGCGGCCGTCCAATGACCGGTAAGCGACTGCCTCACGCGGGAAGAGCGCAATGATAATACCAACATGGACCAGTGAAGTGACGTCCTCCACAACTAGACTGAAGAACAAAAGGACAGTAATTTGTCTATTCCCCTTCCCTGGTTCCCTAACACTGTTCCCTTCTCCCAAACCCCCAATAAAACCTTTAAAAAAAAGACAACTGTGATTACATTTAGGACCCACTTAAATAATTCAGGATAATCTCCCCAATTGAAGCCTCTTACCTTTATCAAACCTACAAATTCCTTTTGGTTTATAAGGTGACATTCACAAATTCCAGGGATTATGAAATGGATACCTTTAGGGTTTGTTATGCAGTTTACCACAGTTTTTTTAATTAAAGCTTATTAATTAAAAATTGTATTAACTATTATAAAGTTACAAAGGTTTCAAGTGTACAATTCTGTAATACATCATCTATATATCACAGTGTGTGTTCACCACCCAGAGTCATTTCTCCTTCCATCACCATATATTTGATCCTGTTTACCCTCATCTATCACTCCCGTTACCCTCTGGTAACCACTTAAATATTGTCACTTCAAGAACACCTTTAATGTCCATATTTCATCAACAGACTGTTTATAATAATTTAGGTATTCTCTAAAATGGTATAGGCTTTTTCTATCCCTTCCTTCAGAGTACTCCTCAGCAGATTCTTGAACATCCACATTTGTGCTAACAGTTTTTTTTTCAAGGCAGTCTAGGCTTTTTCTATTTATTATGCTCCTCTAAATCTTTCTAGCCTCTGCCCACTGCCCAATTCCAAAGCCACTTCCACATTTTTAGTTATTCTTTTACAGCAGCACCCACTACTGGTATCAAGATTTGTATTAATTTTATTTTTCTTTTTTTTATTTGAGCCATCCTGCCACCTGTTGGCAGCTCAGCAACAGCTCAGCTCAGGCCAGGAATCGAACTGCTGTTTCTCAGAGCTCGCACTCTTGAGCGAGCTCTTAACCAACTGAGCCACTCAGCCAGCCCCTTAATTTTCTATTATTGATGTAGAAAAATACCACAATCTCAGTGAACTAAACAATGCAAATTTATTTTTTCACATTTATGGAGGTTAGAAGCCTGATGTCAGTTTTACTAGGCTAAAATCAAGGTGCTAGCAAGACTGGCTTCTTCTAGAAGCTCTGAGGAGTAAACCCATTTCCCTGCCTTGTTATAGCTTTTAGTGACCACATGAATTATTTGGATTGGTCTCCTTTCCCTTTCTTCAAAGTGCATCACTCCATTTTCTGCTTTCATCATCAGTTTGTCTTTTCCTCCTCTGACCCTCTTGTTTTCCTCTTATAAAAACTCTGATGATTATATTTAGCGCCCTATTGGATTATCCAGAGTAATTTTCTGATCTCAAGATTCTTAATCACATATGTTAAGTCCCTTTTGCCATATAAGGTAACATTCACAGGTTCTAGGGATTTGGCTATAGACATTTTGAGAGGTGATTTATCAGCCTTTCACAGTGCCATATATTTATTAGTTGAATGAATAAATTTATGAAAATCACATCATAATGTCTTATTCAAATTTGAAGGATTTTTCTCTTGAAGATACCCAATTGACTAATACTATTTACTGAAAATACCATTTCCCCCCAATGCATAACAACTTTGGGATAATTTATGTGATTATATCTATATAAGTCTTTTTTTGTATGCCCTGTTTTAATCCATTGGCTGTGTTTGTGCCAATACAACATTGTCTTAATTGCTCTCACTTCATAAGTTATGTATTGATATTTGGTAATATATATTCTTCACATTTATTGTTTTCCTTCCAGATTGCCTTGTATATTATTACTCTTTCCTTCCCATATAAAATTTAGAACCAAGGGTGACTGATTAGCTCAGTTTGTTAGAGCATTGTGCTGATAACACCAAGATTGCTGGTTCAATCCCCACATGGGCCACTGTGAGCTGTGCCCTCCCTAAAAAAGTCAACTATGCCATTGTATCATAAAAGCAATGTGTAACCAATGACCATGGCTCTTCCCCAATAAAAAAAAATTTATTTTACAATCAAGTAGTTAGGTGTCATAAAAAGTCAAAAATTTTATTGGGATTGCATTGAATCACTATCAATTTGGGGGGGAAAATTGCTATACTTATAATACTGAGTCTTCCAACTGCTGTTTTCTTTAATTTATCTTAATATTCATTTCTACTCTTTAGTGTAGAGGTGTTATACATATATTTTAAGGTTCATTCCTAAGTATTTGGTATTATGTTATTATTATATACGTGGCATTATTAAAATATTTTCTAATTTTATTGTATATCAAATATGTATAGAGATTATGTATTATAGAATTGTACACTTGAAACATGTAATTTTACTAACATTGTTACCCAAATAAATTTAGTTTAAAAATATATAATTATTTTTTTTAAAGATTTTTATTGGGGAATTGGGGGATGGGAACAGCACTGGGGAATTGGGGGAAGGGGAACAGACAAGTTGCTGTCCTTTTGTTCTTCAGTCTAGTTAGTTATGGAGGACGTTGCTTCACTGGCCCAAGTTGACACCATCATTGCGCTCTTCCCAGGCGAGGCAGATCAGTCGCTGGCTTCTGGATGGCCGCTCACTGCGGCTGCTGGCCGCTCACGCTGGCTGCTGGCTACACACAGTAGCCCACGGCAACCCACTGCCACAGGGGCTGCAGCCTACGCCGTCACCGGCGACTCATGGCAGCCCAGCTCCAGGTTGAGCTGTTGTTCAGCATGTTAGCTGTAGAGGGCAGTGTCACTGGCCCTCATATGTGGGATCCGAACTGGGGCTCTCTGGCGTCCCAAGCCAGTTCTTAACCATCGCGCCACTCAGCCGGCCCTATAATTAATTTTTATACATAGTTTTTGTATCTAACAACTTGACTAAATGTATTTATTCATTGTAATTGTGTGTCTAGATATTTTGGATATTCCATGTAAACAATTGTGCTGCCTGTAAATAATAATAATTTGTTTCTTATTTTCTTATTCTTAGACTTGTTGTTTTTTCTTGCCTTATTGGCTAGGACCTCCAGTACAATGTTAAATTGAAGTTGTACTGGTGGATATCATTTTATTGTTTTTGAGCTCAGGGGAAATGTTTCCAATACTTTGCCATTGAATATTACATTTGTTCTAGTTTTCTGTATATTCCTTTTATCAGACTAAGGAAGTTCTCTTCTATTCCTTGTTTACTAAAAAATTTTTTTGAAAGTGTTAGCTTTCATCACCTTTTTCTGCAGATTGAGATGATCATATAACTTTCCCTCCTTTATTCTAATGTGCTAATGTGGTGAATTTAAAATGTTAAACCAACCTGAAATAAGCTTTACTTATTTGTGATATAATATCCTTTCTGTATATTAATTTTTAAAAATGTTTAAGGATTTTTGCATCTATGTTTATGAGAGATATAGGCTTGTAATTTTATTTTCTATTAATAACCATGTCAGATTTAGGTGTCAAAATTATGCTCTTCTCTAGAACAAATTGGAAACTGTTCTATTTTTCTATTCTTTAGAAGTTTGTGAATAGTTTTTCTTTTTCTTTTTTCTTTAGGTGTTTGGGAGAATTTACCAATGAAGACATCCAGGACTGGAATTCTCTATGTCGGTAAGTTTTTAAATATAAATTCAACATCTTATGTATATATACAATAATTGAGACTTTCTATTTCTCCAACTATTGTGTCTGTTTTTTCAAGGAATTTTTCTATGTTATCTAAATTTTCAAATTTATTGCAATTGCTTTCTGTTATCTTTAATGTTTTCCTCTTACATATGTCGTTTTCAATTTCCAGTTTGAAGTTCTATTTCCAGCTTCTTGAGTTGGATACTTAAATTGTTGATTTTCAGCCTCTCTTCTAATACATGAATTTAAAGTTTTAAGTTTCTATTATAAATAGCTCTCTGATCCCACAAATATGTAAATATCATATTTTAATTTATGTTCAATATATTGTTCAAAATATTTTCTAATTTTCATTGTGATTTATTCTTTAACCCATAGATTATAGTCTTAATTTTCAAAATTTAGGTATTTTCTAGTTTTTAGTTTAAGGTTTTTTTCATTGATTTCTAAATTTATTCCACTGTAGTTAGCAAACATATACCATATAGCAGTACTCTGATAATTGTTGAGACTTGCTTTATAGACCAGTCTATGTTCACTTTTGTTAAATATGTTACATAAACTTGAAAAGATTGTGTATTGTACAGTTTGTTGCAGTATTTTTATATTATGTCAAGAATTGTTAATCATGTTATTCAAATTTTCTATATCTCTGCTGATGTATTTTTGTTTTCTTGGTCTATTAGTTGCTAAAATAAGTATACTAAAGTCTTCAAATATAATTGTGAGCTTGTATAAAACTTTTGGTTTCATAAATGTTTGCTTTATGTGTTTTAGAGCTATGTCAATAGTCAGTGAGTACACTCTAATTTAGAATTGTTACATCCTACTTTTGGATTTATTCTTTTACTATTATAAAATATTCTTATTTATCTTTATTTATTCTAAAGTTAACTTTGTTTGACATTACTATAGCTCCATGAGCTTACTATCCACTAGTGTATGCACAATATCACTTCTTCACTGTTTTTTTATTTTTAAACTTTGTGTGTCTATATTTTTAGGTGTATTTCTGATAACCCACTGTGACATTTTTTGTATTTTAAATGGTCTATTTAATCCACACACTTTTTTGTGGTAAAAACACAACATGAAATTTATGCTCTTAACATAGTTTTAAGTGAAAACTCACACAAGAGAAATTAAGTGTACAACACAATATTGTTAACTATAATCATTATGTCGTACAGCTGACCTCTAGAACTTATTCATCTTAGTTCATTTATTTTTAATGTAATTACTTTATATTTGGATTTAAATCTAACATCTCATTTTTATTTATTTGTTCTATATATATGTTCTTTATTTACCCTTTTTTGTTTCCCTTTGTATTAATCAAACTTTTTAAATTTCCCTCTCACTTTCTTATTAGTTATATATCCTCTTATTATTTTTTAAGTCCTCTTTTTTTTAAATTAGTTTCAGGTGTACAAAACAATGTCACAGTTAGACATTTACACCCCTCACAAGTGATAAGCCCCTCCCCCAATCTATTACCCCCCGATATCAGATATAGCTCTTACAATTTCATTGACTCTATTCCCTATGCTATACTCCACATCCTGTGACTATATATATATACATACATATATATATGTATGTATATATATATATATTAAATTATAGTTGACATTCATTATTATTTAGCCTCAGCTTCAGGTGTACACTGCAGTGGTCAGACATCTACACTATCCATGAAGTGGTCTCCCTAATAAGACAAGTGTCAATCAGATACCCTACAAAATCTTTACATTATTGGTTATATTTCCCAAACTGTCTTTCATATCCCTGTGGCAATCTTGTGGATGCCAATTTGTGCTTCCTAATCCCCTCCGCTTCTACCTCAGCCCTACCCCCTTCCCATCTAACAACCCTATTTTTTCTCTATATCTCTGAAACTGTTTCTGTTTAGTTTGTTCATTTATCCTGTTCTTTAGATTCCACATATAAGTTAGATCATATGGTATTTGTCTTCATCCGTCTGACTTATTTCACTTAGCATAATGTTCTCTAGGTCCAGCCATATCATTCCAAATGGTAAGATTTTATTCTTCTTTATTGCCAAGTAATACTCCATTGTATAAATGTACCACAGTTTCTTAATCCAATTGTTTACTGATGGGCATTTCAGTTGTTTCTATGTCTTAGTTATGGTGAATAGTGCTCCCGTAAACATAGGGGTGCATATATTTTTTTGAATTAGTGTTTTGGAATTCTCTGGATAGATACCTAAGAGTGGAATTGCTGGGTCATAAGGTAGTTCTATTTCCAGTTTTTTGAGATACCACCATACTGATTTCCATAGTGGCTGCATCAATCTGCAATCCCACCAAGAGTGCACAAGGGTTCCCTTTTCTCCGCATCCTCACCAGCGCTTGTTGTTTGTTGATGTATTGATTATAGCCATTCTGACCAGAGTGAGGTGGTATCTCATTGTGGTTTTTATTTGAGTTTCTCTATTGATTAGTGAGGTTGAGCATTTTTTTATCTTTATTGGCCATCTGTATGCCCTCTTTAGAAAAATGTCTATTAGTGCCCTCTGTCTATTTTTTTAATTGAGTTGTTTATTTTTTTGGTGTTGAGTTGAATGAGTGTTTTATAAATTTTGGATATTAACCTCTTATAAGATGTATCATTGACAAATATCTTCTCCCATTCAGTAGGGTGCCTTTGTTTTATTGATGGTTTTTTTGCTGTGAAAAAATTTTAGTTTGATGTAATCCCATATGTTTATTTTTTCTCTCCCTTTTCTTGCTTGAAGGGATATATCAGTAAAAATATTACTAAGGGTAATGTCTGCAAATTTACTTCCTATATCTCTAGGCGCTCCATGTATTCGGATCTTACATTTAAGTCTTTAATCCATTTTGAATTTGTTCTGGTATATAGCATAAGAAGGTGGTCCAGTTTATTTTTTTGCATGTGTCTGTCCAGATTTCTCAGCACTATCTACTGAATAGACTGTCTTTACCTCAATGTAAATTCTTGCTTCCATTGTCATAGATTAAATGACCATATAGATATGGATTTATTTCTGGGCTCTCTATTCTGTTCCATTGATCTATGTGTCTGTTTTTATGCCAGTACCATGCTGTTTTGATTACTATAG